TACATAACAAAAGTAACATCTCTTATATAACATGCTAAGTTAATAAGTTTAATACTAGCTTGCCTACATTAATCTACTATGTGTATGGTTTTGAAAATTGGAATCGAATAGAATTGAACAGAATTACATGAGGTTTGAAACACTATTAAAAATGATAATGGGATATATCCCATCTATTAAATTTAATATAAACTTGAGAATCAAATACAGAATTGAAGAGAATCGTTAGGATCCTTAACTATATGATAAAAAAAAATAAATATTAAAATCACTATATATCATAGAAAGTATCAAGCAGTTATAAATACTTATTTAGAATTATTAATAATAAGTTGGTTAAAATTAGAGATTAAGTTTTTTAGACATGATGACATATTGAAGTTATTATTTATGAATTCATCTGTGACAATAGACATGAGGTCTATGATTGTGTTATCTGATTTTGAGTTGAAATTTAATAATTGACAAGAATGACTATGAAATTTGATTAGAGAGTTCTTGCGAGATCGGTGAAAATCCTGATTCCAGGTTATTCATATAGAAGGAGAAGTGTTTGCTATGTTACATCTTGATTTCTATATAAGATTGTAAAGAAGAGCAAGTGCTTTTTAATATAAGTTTTATAAAATACAATATCAAATAGTATTAATTAAAATTTTATATTTATTTTAATTTGATTTTAAAATTTTTATTATATAAAAATTCTTAATTAATAATTGATTAATTAATATATAGCAAAATATAAATAATAAAAAAATAAAATAAAAATAAAATAAAAAAATAATCTATTTATAAAAACTCTTTTCCACACCCCTTCTGCACTTGAAAATTTCCTTTTTAGGAAATCTTTGAGTTATTTACTTTTTCTTTTCGCTTCCCCTTTTCCTTCTTCTTTACTTCCCCTTTCTCATACCTTTAACTTCCTTTTCCCTATTTTTACCTCTTCTTTCTAGATACTTTTTTATATATATACTTCACACCTTTCCCTTTTTCTTTCCTCTTCACTATTGATGTGAGGTTTTTTCTTCTTCTTAAAGATTTTCTTTTTAGGCCTCTCTTTCTTTTATAAATCCGCTCTCCATAATATCAATTCCTTGGCCAGTTGACTCCCTTTTTTCAAGACCATATTCAGAAGTGATAACTTCTCTCAAGATGTAGGCTTTAGAATTTTTCTCTCTTCCATAGCTTTACAAAAAAAGGACAGATGGTTTACTCCTTTAAAAAATCGATATAATTATTATTATCAAATCCAGTATTGTTTACTTGTTAATAATTAAACTAGATACATCTAAAAAACAGATATACAATTATTATTATCTGAAAGTATCCAAGGAATTGTATTCCACTATATCCAGAAAGATATGGCAGCCAATTCTAATACAACTAACATTAAGCTAGGTTAGTTTGCAGGTGTCATGTTAGTGATTAGAGAAATCTAATAGAATAATATGTGAAGATCAAAGATTTTAGTTACCTCCACAACATGAGCTGGTAACGACAATGAAAGTTCTATACTCATACCTTCAATAATGTAGGCTTATTGTATAAGGTTAGGTAACAATATCTATAAGAAATTTTAACTCCATAATATTTAATAACTTTCCTTAACAACCATTACCACACGTTCAAATACTCTTCTTCAACCTCTTCCTGCCTTATACTTGGGCTGGATTTTACTCAAATACTTAAATGATATGGTTATATGTGCAAAGCTTCTTATGAAGAGTGGCTGTCTCCTTTCCTACTTGCTATAGGTGTAGGCAACTACTATAGACCTGGTCAACCTGTAATCTGCTGCAATCCTAGAAGAGTAGAGAAGATCAAATACTAGGTGATCAGATGAAAGGCTAATCTCTATTAGATGTCCAAGTCAGAGTAATAACTATTTAACTAATTAAGTAAGTTATTCAGGTAAAGTATAAGGTGGAATACATTTGACTTGCCGTACATCAAGTCATATTTGAAAAGCAAGCTTGCCAATCCTAATTATGACTTGGAGACCAACCTGTATATAGTGGCTACAGTGTCTTCATATGATTAAGTATTCACTTTTCTCTAAGTAGCTAGATACTATTCAAGAAATAATATAGATTTTGAACTTTTTTTTTCTATATTTTTGAGTGGTGCTAAGGTGTACAGAGGATAGACTGCATTTGCAAAGCTTTACATTTAACTCTTCCTAACAAAGAAAGATATATATTATACTGTAAATGTATTATAAATCTTGTACTACAAGTCTAAAATTATAATAATAAAATAAAGTGTAATAGCCTTTTGCTTCTTCAAAAAAAATATTAAATAAAAAAATAAAATATTATAATATTCTTTTGATTATAAGTAATTTAATTATTTTTTTTTTTTATTTTATTCAGTTTTTTAAAAATTAAAGAAGATTTTTATTTAGACTAATAATTAATTTATAAATGTTTTTATTTATCAATATAAATTTTTTTTATTTTTTAGAACTATAATAGTTATATTAAAATAATAATCTTAAATATAAGTTAACTATAATTTTTTATTTTAGAAAAAATTTTAAATATAATATCAATAGTATTATTAATAATTTTAAATTTTAAAAAATTAAAATTTTTAATAAAACTTTTTTTTAATTATATTTATTTTATTAAAAAAATTTTTTTTGTAATAATTCTAAGCAAAAAAAAATAGTTTATATTTTTTATTACAAGTAAATCTTAACTCAAGAACCTTCATAATAATTAATACAATAAAATGGAATTTCTGATCAAAATCTATTCAAGTTTGAGAGTCTTGCTTATTCTTTGATTATATAAGAAAAAACCTATAATAGTTCTTTTTTTTTTGTTCTTTTGTATTTTTACTTATCTTTATTATATTATAAAAATCATATCAATATTATTATACTCACTAAACAAACCTGTGGGTCTATAGCACAGTGGTTAGTGCTCTACAGGTCAGATTACAAGATACCAGTTCAACTCCATGTGAAGACAGTTGAATAGAATTAATATGGTATCTGGCACCATAACCTGAAAATACGCTGTTTCTCATGGAAAGCCAATTCACATGCTAATCCAGTGGGCATTGAGATTGTGACCTTCACAAAAGATGCAGTGGCGTGACGATTGTCTAGTTGGTGCTACAATGATAATTGGCTTAAAGGGGTACGACACATTTGGATGTACAGACTGGGCTGTATTCCATTCTAATCAATCCCGATTGACAATAAAGTTCCTCCTCTTCCGTAATCGGTTCTAGCCTAATTAGGTGAAAAAGACTCAAGGATATCTCGAGCCGGTTTCATTAACACACCCTGTTCGAACACAAGCATGAACCAATAGGTTAGGTGGTTTAAAACTAGTAGTAGGATTTTTACCCCCTAGATAGGTTCCCCCCAAAAAACATAATCCACTTTAAAAGTACATATCATGTCGCTGGATTTAATATAGGTGGTGGAGCTGGGTTAAATTAAATAGACCTTTGTAGCTTAATGTAGATTGGATATAACAACTTAGTTAATAAATCATGTGCTGTATGTATCGTTTACTTTAAAAAAAAAAATTATACTCACTAAACTAAATATTTTTCAAAAAACATACTCAAATAAATTGTTGAATCTATTATTTGTTTTAATATAACTTTTATAAATAATCTTATTATGATATTATTTATTGTACTATATCAAAATTTCCAAAATTTTTTTTTTAAAAAATCAAAATCAATTTATTTTTTTGAAATAATCTTTGTTTTTCAATTATTTAATCAGATTTCATCAAAACAATAAAATAAAAATTGAATTTGTTCAAATCAATTTTTCAACACAATAATAATAACAACTATCATAACAATAAAAAATATTAATCATACTTTATTATTTATATTAACAAAAATCATATTTTTAAAATTAATATTAATAGAATCAGATAATTAGCTATCTTTTAAATATTTTTTTTATTTATATAAATCTTATAGTTTAAGTAATTTAGTTTTAATTTCAATAATCTATATTATTATAATTCCAGTTTATTTTTTTTTCAATTTTCTTTATATTCAATTAAAAAATTTAAATAAGTAAGTATAGTTGCTATTCAACTATATTTAGCATATATAATATTATTTTAAATTCTTTTCAATATTAACTAAATATAAATGTATAAGCAACCTAACATTTAACTTGTTATATGCTTTGCATCCAAGAGATATTGTTTTTTTTTTCAATATATATAATTTTTCAGTATAATATAATAAATAAATATTTATTTATTGAAAAAAAAAAATCAAAATTTTTATCTATTTATTATAAAATAAAATACATAATTTCAAAAATATATAACAAACACCGTATATTAATAATATTTAATATATGTAATAAGTTGTACATATCGTAATTTATATTTGAATTTTAGAACAAGATTTATCAGGAAATTTAATATTTTAAAGGCCACTTCCAACTTGCCGATCCGTGCTACCGTTGTGTCATGCTCTGATTTGTACAGATCAAACTGATAAACCTACTATTTCAAAAAAGGAGTGAGTCACTTTTCGTTTTTTTTTTTTTTTTTCATTTATTTTTTTTCCTCATTTCTCACTTAACAAGTTGGTCTACCACCATACTTTTTTTGCAATTCTTACAATTCTCAAAGATAAAGAATATGAGTAAACTCGAGAAAGCGTTTAGAAATGGCACGAGCACAGAGTACCTAAATTTTTTGCCTAACCAAAATCTGATACGTATGATCATTAGTCTGTGTCAGCAGAAACCTTGAATATCCAAATGATTCGTACGGTTTTTGGCCAGCACTATGTCATTATGGAGGCTTACGCATATGCAAATTACCACAAACAAAACAATGTCATCCACGTCCTCAGCATTGTAGATATCGGACTACGTATCTTTACCTTAATAAAATTTTCACTCTCTCTTCAAAGAATAAAAATAAATAAAATAAAAATAAAATAAAAAAAAAACCAAAACCAAAAGAGGAACGTTCCCAAAGATATATATATAAGAGCAGTGGATGTATTTCGACACACAAAAGGAAGAAACGAATAAATCACCACCTTCTGCTGGTACTAGTCATAGTATACCGAACATGCAGGGCACAACACCTTTAAACCGACCTGATCAAGGAGCACAAATTCCTCGAGGTCGGACGATGGGTCCTCCTCCTCAGCCTCCTATGGGTTACCGTTCAGCAATATACGGTTCACCCGTACCGAGGATGGAGATGCCGCGTACTAATGGTGAGTGAGTTTACCAGTATGCTTTTAAATGTCCATGGTCGAACTATGAAAACTTTCGCACAGTGAATCCGAATCCCTTTTCAATTATTATTTACCCTTTTTTTATCTAAACAAAAAATATTTTCCTTTTGTCATCATATATTCATATACTAGGAAACATGCCTAATGGAGGTTCCATACCAAGGTAAATATATATTTAGTCTTGCTCTAAGGCTCAGATATTCTTTTCTCAACAAAAAAAAAAAAAAAGAAAACCAACATTATGCACAAAGTAATTTGAACTACCTTTACGCTACGTTGACTATATTAAAGCCGAAGGGCTACAGCACCAGCCTCAACAACACTAATCTCTGATGAGAAACCAAACGAAAAAACAAGTTATGAGAATGACGTTCTCGCTTATTCAGGAGTTGACCTAAAAGTATGTGGAATCTCAACAAAAATATTTCAAAAATTTTAAGAAACCGTAGTCAAAAATCGTATGTAAACATAAATAGGCAGAAGAAAATAATATACGAAGGGAGTATGAATTGTTGACGTCGCGTCACTCCACCACATCAATACAACAACCGGACCGTTCGCGGGCCCAAAGTTTTTTAAATCATAAGATATTGGCCGCGAAAGTACAATCCATAGGTAAATGAATATAACTGATTTTTTTTAAAAAAAGGTGAGATAAGTTAACGCCTTCACTCATAAATTTAACAAAAGCATTACAACATAAAATATCAAATGCCCACCCTGACGCATTAACTTACCTGGCACTTGCCACACAAGAGAGAATCAGGGAACTAGTGGAAACAATGATAACTGCCAAAAATCATCGGATACACTCTGAGCGCATAAACCTTCCGCCGGTCACCGATGGCAAACCTCCAATGTATAAAGAAATTGTTAGTTTAGATGTGCGATCACAGTTAGCCGCGATGGAAAAGGTAGAAAGGGAGCAAGAGCGCAGAAGACGTGAGCAATTGGCGGGTCCCTCGCAAGAGTCTAATGTGGATGATGAGAAAATGGAAGATGTAAGGGATTCAACGGATGCACAAACGCAACCACAAAAACGTTACAAACGACAAAAGAAAGATAAAGACCCTGCCACAGCTTCTCAAAGAAATAAGTTTACCACCGAGTCTATCGCAAAGAGTACAAACCAAACTGCGCTGGTAGCTGCTGGAGGGTTAACAAAGAGTTGGATGTTACCACAAAAAGATGTTTCATCATTTGTTTCCACATCAAATGGTGTATCGTCATCCAATAGTAAACTATCGCGTGTGCGCGCGCGTTTAACTTCAGATGTGCGAAATGTTCCAATGAAGCTGGAAGATAGTAATGAAAGTTCACGCAACGCACAGATCATCTCCTCATACCACACGCCAGAAAGGTTTAATGGATTAGGCAGGTATCAACCGAACGGAGGGAATGAGGTTGTACCAACGGTCACGGTGAAAGATGCTCTTTTTGTGCTCGAAAGAGATCGCGGTGGTGGCGGTCAAGCTGGTGGAAGTCGAGAAGTCTTAATGAAGGTATTGATTGGGTGTTAAAAGATATACATGTGTGATGCAATTTAATTATACCATAAATTGCTCATTTTCGTTTTCCCAAACAGGGTTATGTAAAGTGGCTTCGCTAAAGTGTTGTGACGTGGTCCGTGGGAAACGGAGAATAAATTTAATTTGTAAGTGCTAATACTAATAGGTGTTGTGACTGGTTCTGAACCGATGCCACCGGCCCTATCCTATTTTATTCACTAGCAGGTAAAACCGAATTACCTGCTTTGTCTATTCTTTAAATTGCAAGTTTACTTGTACATAATGGTTTGTTTTTTCCTTATTAAAAAACAAAAAAAAAATGAATGAAATTTGAATATTGAATATTAGTTAATTTTCAAGCTGCTTTACATGTCTTTGTCCTTCAGGTAGGTTGCGCAATATACGTATATGTATAAATATACAAGCGCAACAACGAAGTTTGATAAAAAAATTTCACAAATGCAGTAACATACTACCAATTAAATCCTGCGCTAAAATGGCGACATGTATTTGTTGTGTTGGGGGGAATGAGCGTTAAAGGACGGACTTCATGAGAATCATAAATTAATACCCGTATCCCCCGATACGAGAGTTGGTCACAATTGGGTGAGTGAATGAAATGACCTATTTTGTACCGATTGAAACGAATTGATGGGGATGGCATAACAAGAAAGAATAACAATTAAGTATTCGTATGGGAAAAAAAAGACATGTATTACTATAAAAGATTATTTTAGAAACGTAATAACATCGTGGTGTGTACTGTATGCATCAATCAAATCATGTGCATGAGGTACACAAGAATCTTGTCACCTCCTTAAATATTTGATTGTTTATACCACAATAATTACTTAAATTAGTTTTTGAAATCGAGCGCCAGGGAATCGCATTTACCAACAAATAAATATGAGATACGGATTGTGCTTCTCGTATCGGATGGAATGTAAAGTTCCTAGAAGATTTGATCTTGAAATGAAAAATTGCTATATTAATTTATAAGACGAACAATTCATCTATGTAAGAAAACGTCTATTGTCTGTTGTGTTAACTTACCCCTGAAACAATGCTGCACTTATTTAACCATCTTTTATATTCTGGTTTTCCCATAAGAACCATCAACATCAGGAAAACCTTTCTTTAAAAAAAAAAAACAGACAGGAATAATCAACTTTTCACCTAGTTAACGGCAAGAATCGAATTTTATCTGTAGCCATTATACTATTACACAGAACTTTTGAATTAATAATAGCGACACAAAATGGAAATCAAAGGGTAACGGTTTCATTGGTACGAAAAACATGAACACAAAAAAATGGTTGACAAAATTTTTGAGGGTGTATGATTTTTGTGCTCTGAAAAAGAAAACCCATTAGGGATTGATCTGTAGGGAACGGATTTAGAAACACGTGAGGGTCGACTTTCGCAAAATAAACAGTATTTATAACATAATAATTTTCATTAACATTTTAATATATTTTGATACCAATTCAATACTTAAATTTACTATAAATTTATATAAGTAGGTTACAACTCATATATTAATTTATTAAGATTGAGATCATTTCAATATTACTTCAATACCAGTTTGGTATTTTTTTAAAACCTTAGTAATTACAATACTGACAAAAAAAATACTTTATTATACAGTATTTTATATTAAAATTAATTAAAAATAAAATTTTGCTATTATAAATAAAAAAATTATGATTTTTATATTTATAATATACTGTATATTGTTAAAAAAATTTTTTTTAATCTTTTATTAATATCAAATTTTAAGAAGCCATTATATTTGAAATTTATTTAAGTTTTTTGATATTATTTATACAATAAGAAAAATTATAAATATCTAAATAAATCAAAAAATAAAATCAAAAAAATAATAATAATAAATTTTAAGTAACAAAAAAATATTAGAAAAAAAATTTTTGTAAAAATATAAAATTTTATATATAAAAAAAATAATAACATTTTTTACATAACCAAATGGTCAACAAGTTTAATACTAGCTTGCTTATAGTAAATTATTTAAGCAATAAAGAAAAATAAATATATATTAAAAATAGTATTAAGCAACTATGAATATCTACTCAGAATTATATATAATAAAATTTGAAATAAATAAAAATTTTAAAAAAAAAAATACTATATAAGAAAAAATATTAAAAAAATTAATTATAAAATCAATATATTATTAATATTTAGATATGCTATTTTGATAATTTTACTTCTTTAAAATACTATTGCACTTGTCAAAATAATCAAGCTATATACTATAATATTGTTACTGTCTTAAGAGAACAAAAGTATGTTTCTATAAAATACAAGAAATAAAAATAGAATAAAGAAAAAAAAAATATTTAAAAAAATATCAACAGAAATCAAAAGAAGATAAAAATTTATAATTTAATATGTCAAAACTTTTAGTCTCTTATTTAACAAATTTTAAAATCACTAATAAAAATAATTTTCAATTCTCAATAATTTAATTTACTCAATATATATTATATTTCAAACAATATTAAATAAATTAATATTTATTAAATATATAAATTATTATTATAACTTTTTTTATTAGAAATGTTTGAAAATTTACTTCTTTACTAAATTATTTGTTCTGATCAATCTTTTACAGAAGTTGAAAATTCAGATTTAAGATATTTTTTTTGATTTCTCAAATTAGAAGTTAATATTTCTTTAGCAAATATAATTAAAAATAATATTATAAAAATTTATAAAGAAAAAAAAATACAATTAAAAGAAATATTATAGATATATTAATAATATATTTTATAAAAATTTTTTTAATTATTATTTTATTATAAAAAAATATTTCAGATTATATTTTTTTTATTCTTGATACTTGAACTTCTTAAATATATTATTTTTTTTTGGAATTACATATCATTGGATTAATAATAATTAAAATTTACAACAAACCTTAATTGATTTTATAAAATTATCAAGATTATATTTTGAAGAAAATATTTACAAAACTTTTAAACAAAGTTATAAAAAATTATTAATTTTTACAAAAGTAAATTATATTTTTTATAAATAATATTAATTAATTATATATTAAAATTTTATTAATTTAGATTTTGGCAATAAGAATCAATAATATATCAAATAATAATATATCTTATCAAGTTTTAAAATATAAATATTTTGATAAAAATATTAATTTTGAAAAAAAAAATCATTATGTTAGATATATTGTATATATTTTAAATCTTGTAGTATAAACTTTTTTAAAATTTTTAAAGCTAAAACATTTGAAAATAAAAATATTATAATAAATGAAAGTAAAATAGATATATTGGCTATTGTTTAAAAAATAATTAATTTTTTTATTTTTATTTTTATTTTTTATTTTTTTAAAGAGCAAAAAACAATTATCGATTGACAATTTTATTGTAATTTTTGACTTTAGTGAAGATTTACAATTTGAAAGAAAGATATATGTCTCTCTAAGCTATAAGTAGAGTTAAACGTAAGACTTATTGGTCCCCCATCTTTGTTCTGGACACCCTCCAAGAAATACAGTAAAATGAATTTCAAAACCTATATCAAACCCTTGGGGTGATGTCTAGTTTCCTAGAGTTAATTTGATTACCTAAACATATGAAGGCGCTGCAACCATATTTTCATAAATTAGCCTCCAAGTCATGAGTAGGATTAGTACCCTTGCTTTCCAAATATGGCTTGATATATGGCAAGAGGGGTCGATG